GGAAGAGGAACTGCTGATCCATCTCGGCCAGATGTTGATGAGGCCTTTAGCCACCTACCCAGATCTGTGGATGACGCTTCACGATGGAATCAGAACTTGCCTGAACGTCCATACAACTGGGATCATCCGAAGTGGCTCGACGATGCACGGCACGATTGCCCCTCTGTAGTCAAGGACAAGATTGTTTCTGCTCACCAGGACCTATCTAGTGAGAAGTCCACACGTGTTAGCACCGCAAAGCCGGATGCCTATCTACAGCAGGTTCGTGGCCATTTATAATTTCTACCTAAATAGTGTTCTGGCAGATGTTCATATGGAGCTTGGCTCCATTATGAAAAACTCGACATCCTATGTGAGATATGACCCCATGAAAAAAGAAATGGCAAGGCTCCAACCACGTGAGTTACGAGGCCCCACCGGGAGCCGTCGGTTCAATCAAATTTAGGTCGGTTTACCTGCCCAGTCTAATGTGCCGTAAGGAATTTAACAATTTCGATTCAGCAAGCTTACTGTCCAAGCTGATCAAAGTCAAGGCTCCCAGCGGGGCCTCTTAACTCATCTGGTTAGACCGTTGGCTGTGCTCAAGCCTTAACCCTGCCTTCGTGTGTTCAGATCCCACTGAGGCCACTGAGTTTTGTTCACAATAACTTTCTACTTATTTCGATTGTAGTAACTGTTGTTGGAACAAAAACGTCGTTAAGCTACTATTTGCCTCACCACTCCTCCCTGCGCGATCGCCCCGTTATGCAAGGTTGGGGTTCACAATTTTCATCATTCTTCGTAAAAATGCTTCCTTTTGAGTGAAATAATGCAGACTTCAAACATAACAGCAAAACCATGCAATACTTTTGGTGTGTATGTTTACTTGCATAACAACTACAGCCAAATAATGGTCGCTGACAGAATAGGTGGTAGAGCAGTCGGCGTGAATCGGGAAAGGTTAGTCACCCAAGACCGTCTTGAGGCGCGTACTGTTTGACTGTAGGGGTGCAGCACTTCCACAAGCTAAATCACAAAATTATTGTTGCGTCTTACAACTGGTTATGATCTCGAATTTGTGCATTAAGATCAAAGTCTTTCGGGAACAAGGCTAATCGGCAGGGAGCTTCTCTTCACGAATTGAGGGAAATGTTCGCATCCCAGGTATGTGCGTAAATAGAGAAGGACGCATTGTCACAAGTGGCCGCCCACGTCTACGAGGTCGGTCACCAGTTTGGCGTCACAGCTGCGAGGATAATCGCCCATGCCAGCAACAAGACAGGCTCAGAATTGATTGAAGTCTGCGCCTCGGATGAGAACTCGGTCAATCGATTTATCGATCTGGTGCCGGCAAACATCGCAATGCGCAAGCATTTCCAGACTGATGGTGCTGATGGTTGATTGGCCCCTCCCCTTCCCTCCTATAACGGTTTAGTGGCCCCTGCCCCCTAGAACTGTTGCTTGTTTTTCGTTGACGCCTTTATTTCTGAAGATGGACTCCAGTAAGAGCCCGAAAACTCAGAAGAATGAGATTATGATTCCGGTGATCGAAACGCCTTCTCCTTCTCTATCTATATTTCTTTCCATTTCAACTGGTGAAAAATTTCCTTCTGGTGCATTATGCACGCAAAGGGGGCCGAGTCATTCGTGGTACGCAATTTCTGTTTCAATCGGAAACGGGCATTTAAAACGGCTGTAACGAAGTAAAAATGCGAATTCCCTATTCGTATACTTCTCGACTCGAATAAACTAGAACCTTTGTCAGTCCTTGCTTACATCCGGACAGTTTCCATCTGCAACCACCTGGCCCGCGAAGTTGACACAGTACCGAATAACTTTTGCGCAGCTTTCGCCTTCACCCACCAGACGCAGATTGCAAAACCGTGTCAAGACGAGACGAGAGGTGGACTCGGACGCGGTGGCCCACAAACCTGAATAGTTTCTCTACGCGTGCTACACACGAGCTAGTCTCCAATACATACGCCAAGCTTTCATAAAGGCGGTTCGATCTTACATCAGATAGAGTGCCATGAAGGTCACTTTGCCAAGAGTAATAATAACTTGACACTGCTTCCTCCATTCACTTAAAAAGACTTCCAGCTGGACGTATTGCAGGAGGTTAAGGGAGTTAAGCCCTAGCAACTGCGATCTTCAGGCCCCAGTTCCTTGGGAGAAGAGAAGTCATGAGGGGTCAGAGTGGAGGGAACAGCTTATTGTGTACGGAAATACGTGGAGAATAGGCAGGAGGAAACTGACTACCAGACGAGCGAGCACCCGCTGGCTAGACCACCGCGTCCGAAGTAAGGTGACTGTGGGAATTGCCACAGCCTCTGGAGCGGTTTTTGTGTGAGTCAGCTTTGACAGGTGATTGGTCAGACGGACTGGCTAGACGGACGGGCGTAGGCGGCCAGTGCATGTGTACTCGTTGGCGGCGGTGAGCCTTGGCACATGCTTGCCTGCACGGCGAAAGTCACTACAGACATCATAGAGATCTACAGTCGAACTGTCCCTAATCGGACTTTGCTCGAATGATTGATGCGCCACTCAGG